AATGGAATCCAGATATCTTGATCTCCATTTTAGTAATAAAAATTACAACATTTTAATACTTTCATAAATTCTGGTGTAATTATTTTATATTCTACTTAATTACATTTTACCAAGATGAATGTTATTACAATTCTATTGCTTATCAAGAATTGAATATAAGCTTTAAACTATGCTAGATAATTTTCCACCATTTTCTGTTAACTCCTTCTATATTCAAGTGTATTTTCATCTTGACCCATTCTTCTGTTAAGATGAATTTATTTCCCTTTCCCCACTAATTTTCCACCTGTATTCTGATGTGATCTCATTTTTCTCATATACTTTAGAACTCTGTCCCATAAATTATATCCACTTTTTTATACCTCCCTCTCCAAATAGTCATTTTGTAACATGACTTTTCTGATTCCCTCTGCCATTCTTAGAAAAATTAAGCTCTCATTCTCAATGATCCTAAAGTATTTTGTTCATACTGCTAGTATAAATGAGGAGACATGCTGGAAGCAGTATGACTGAAAGAAAGAGTACTAGCTTGGGGCCCCTGGGTGGCTCCGTCAGTTAAGCGTCCCACTCTTGGTTTTAGCTCAGGTCATGATCTCATTGGTCATGGGATCCAGCCCTGTGTCGGGCTCCACACTCAGTGGGGAGTCTGCTTGAGTTTCTCTCCCTCTGTCCCTCCTCTCACTCATGCTGTCACTTTCTCTTTCTCTCTTGCAGATAAATAAATAAATCTTAAAAAAAAAAAAGAGTACTAGCTTTAAAGCTGGCTCTAACACTTTCAAGCTGTGAGATCCTAGGCATATTCCTTGACCACTTTGAGTCTCTGATTCTGAATCTACCAAATAGGAAAAAAATTAACAACCCATTCTACAAGTGTAATGAGGATTAAATGAGAATGAATTTGGGGCACTTGGGTGGCTCAGTCATTAAGTGTCTGCCCTTGGCTCAGGTCATGATCCCAGGGTCCTGGGATCGAGCCCCACGTCAGGCTCCCTGCTCAGCAGGAAGCCTGCTTCTCCCTCTCCCACTCCCCCTGCTTATGTTCCCTCTCTCAGTGTCTGTCTCTCGGTCAAATAAATAGAATCTTGAAAAAAAAAATGAGAATGAATTTAAATCACATATAACTAGTTCTTAATACAATGTCTTATAATTTGTTGTGGGACGGTCTGTTTATCTACTCAGACCAGTGGTTCACAATTTTTTTTAGGATTTTTTTTTTAAACTCCAGGAAATCCAGATATTGTTCTCCCAACTTACTGAAATCAGTGCCCTTAATTATAAACTCCATGAGGTCACAGATCACAGTTTTTGTATCTCTGAATCTCTAATACTTAGCCCAGAACCTTTCATATATTAGGTGCTTAATATATGCTTGTTAAAGAGTATTAAGCTGTAGATACTAAGAAGAGAAATTACTGGACATGCAAACTAAATTTATTTTTTCAATATTAAACATTATTTTATAAAATCCCATTGCTTGGGGTATGTTTCTAGCTACATTCCCAGTATAATCTCATTAATAGCTAAAAAAAGTATACCTATTTTTTATAAGCTCTTTTCTTCTGAGAAGCTCAAGGATTTTTACAGACCTTATCTCATCAATCCTTAGAACATCCCTGAGGTAACTGGAGGTGGAAAGGAAAAAAATAGAATATGAATCCATAATCCACATGAATCCATAAATTCCACTCAGCAAAACTCCCATCTAATTTTTCAGTTTATGTGCATTTTGCCACCATTTCCCTTCTAAATCCACCTAAGTTACCTATTTAATCATTACATCTGGATATGCTGATCTGGAGCAAAAGTGTTATTATTTGCTCAAGAGAGCAAAGTTTTCAGAAAGTGTTATACACACAGTAAGCAATACATAGAACAACATAAAAATGACAACTCTAATTCCTTAACAGAAAATTGACTGTTCAGGCTACTGACAGGTTTACTTTAGACTACAAGCTATTTAGGAATTAGACACATTATTTTCTTCAAATTTTAATAATCAGAGACCAGCAGCCCAATCATAGCTTTCACCTCCTTCTGATCCCCATCACTTGGTTCTTTTGTACCCTTATAGTAGCCCTTACTGACTACCCACCCAGGAACCATTCTCCTCCTTTTCCATATTAACAGAATCCCACTTCTGTTCAGGCAACATTGGGTTCAGCCCCAGGGGATGATCATGACTGATCTTCTGAGCCAATCCTAGCAATCCTGTTCCCCTCTGTCAATAATAGGTATAAAATTGGACCTGTGATCTAAAACCAGCCAATAAAGTGAAAGAAGTTGCTAGGGATTCCTTCCTCCCTGATTAGAGGGCAGCAAGAAGAACAGGCTCTTTTGCCCCCAACCAATTTCCCTGTACTTGAGAAGTTGCCAGCTTGAACTTGATGCTTAGAGCTGTGCCACTCTCTTGAGACCACGAGTGGAAGACCAAGAAAACTTCAGTTATCCTGACTGCACCCAGACATAAGTGAGTCTCTATCTTCAGGCTTCCTGTTGTATGAAATGTTATTTTTGTCTACCTCACTGTTCCTTAAAGTTGAAAGCATCCTAATTAACAAACAAATAGACCAATAAAATCAGGCAAGAACGGAAGTACAGATTTAATTACTAAGCACTTACTATTACATCTGTAATCTCATTTAATCTTCACAAAAGCCCAATGAAAATTACTAATCTTTTCTATTTTGTTTTTATAAAAACAAAAGCTTAAGAAAGTTATACAGTTAATAGTAAGAATGCTAAAATTGAAATCCATACCTGAAACCAAACTTTGCATTCTTTTTAAAAATATAAAATCCCCTTCCTCCTTATTTACAGTTCTTTGTTAAAAAGATAAACCAGTAAGCTGATATGTTACTAGCAAGCAAAACTCAGGGAGAGCTGAGGAATATCCATTATTCTTATAACCTTGTCATAGGATCTATAGCCCTCAACTCTATTTTGTATCAAAGTAAATGGGGGGAAGGGCACCTGGCTGCGTAGCATAGTCGGTTAAATGTATTGGTTTTGGCTCAGGTTGTGATCTCAGGGTCATGAGATCGAGCCCCGGGTCCGGCTCCACACTGAACATGGAGTCTGCTTGGGACTCCCTCTCCCTCTAGCCCTCACCCCCCTTGAATAAATAAATAAATCTTAAAAAAAAAAAAATTACATGGGGAAAAAGACAAAAATATGTGTATATGTGTTTGGAAAGTTCCAGAATGTCTAGTAGAATGACCAAATTCCTACAGCAAAAACTAGGATGGATTTCAAGTGTAATATTCAATTTCTGAAGAATTAAAAAAATATGAAGTCAATCGCAAGTATTTCTTAAATCAAAAAAATAACTTCCTTATTTTAAACTATTCCATTAACCAAGTATCTGTCAATACAGAAACCACAAAGTTAATACTTCCTCAATTTTCATCTGTTCATGGAAAGTGATTCAGCTTAAATCTTGGCAACAAAAAAACTTATATAAACACTAAGATTCAGCAAGGTCATTTTTTATTTAGAAATTTACTAAAACTGGGTGTTCCAAGCTATTTATAATGTCATCTCAACCAGAAGTATGTTCACCTTATATTGCCTTTATTAATCTCTAATTGAGCTTAATAAAGTGGGCATGCTGTATTTCTGACTTGATACACTTACACAGCTTACCTTCCCACATGCTCTGCAATGATGCCTCCTTTTGGTGAATGTGAACCTGGCTTCACATTTCATGCAATTTGGAGCCTGAGAATCTGGTACCCATACAGGAGCCACCTCACCCAGAGTAGTAAATGGCTTTCTGGCAGAAATTCCAAACTGACCAGCTCTGAGATCATTATCTGGGCTTTCTGGAGCTAATGCAAGGCATGGTCTACTGGATATCCCCGACTCGTAGCTTTCTAAATGTTCCCCATTTGTATCAGCAATAGAGATGTTTCCCAAAGAGGCATTGCATACATTGGTTGCTGAGTTCTCCCCTAATTTTGCTTTCCCAAGAACATCATTTTTGTTTTTAACATTATTTCCACTATTTGTAGGAAGGTCATTTTGTAAATGATCAGTCAATGGCTTTGGAATTTGAAGTTTAAGATTAGAAGGTTGCTTGGGTCTCGCACCACCAAAAGGAACACTGATAGATTGCAAGTTTGCTACTATCTTGGGTGAAGACTGCCCGAGCACTGATGGAACTTGGCTACAGAAACTGTGTAAATAATTTTTCTTCATTAGGTCACCAGTGCTGTTTAAAAGTAGTCCACTCCCTTCTGTGGCTTCATTTCCTCTCTGTTCATAAATATTTGAGTAGCATTCTGACTTGCTCTCTTCTATTTCTTTTTCTTCTGTTACTGAATCTTCTTTGGAGGGTAAAGTCTTTGGAACAAAACAAACAACTGGGCTCTGCATTCCATAGGAATCACAATTAGATAGAGAATTTGCTGCTGGTGTATCCATAGTGGAGAAATCACATCCTTCACTTTCATTCATGCAAGTTCCTTTTAAATCTAGACCTGCTTCTGCCATTCTATCACACTCTCCTCCACTATCATTGTAAATGTCCTCAGGCTGATTCATTGGCAGAAACTTCTCATTTTCTTTATTTATTTGGCTATCATTCATATCATTTAGTTTAGTCAATTTCCAATTCGTCATCTCCCGAGAGTCAGAGAAATGCTCTGTCATATTAAGAAGTTCTGTAGTGCCAAGAATTTCTTCATGTTCACAACCTTCCTTTTCATCAGCTCTAATGTCACTGGACACAAGACAATCTGAAAACTGTTCACAGTTATCCTCCCTTCCAGAACCATTAGGCATGTCTGTTTTGAGAAGCAAAGGTAAACCAGACTGGACAGATTCTTTAGTTGTTCTCTCCTCTGCCGGCTCTTTTTTCACCAAAATCCCTTCACTCAAGTGGGAAAAGGAGTTTGGACTCCCTAGATCTGTCCTAGCAGAGCTGGTTTTGCCAGTGAGAACCTCATCTGGTATATAGTTCTCTTGCTTTTTAGCAGCAGGACCTTCATCTGTTCCCTGGGATGAGATTATTGAATCAATTGTTAAACCTGTAATCACAGACATGGATGGGTCTCTACCTGTATTTTCATCATCCTTTAATTGTGAAGTGGAACAGACACTGGCTAGATTATCAGATGAAGTAGAACACGTATGTTTAACAGAATCCCCCACTGCACTTGGTCTATTCAACAGATCCATTTGTTTCTCTGAGTTCATATCTTTTTCAGTGGACCCATTTATACTAAAACTAAATTGATCAGTTTGTCTGTTTTCGTTATCCAGTGAACAACTAAAAGCATCCATGAGGGACTGACTATTATAATTATTACAATCCTGCAAATCGCTTTGTAATGTCCTTTTATCACAATTATGCATAACAGCTACAACAAGAACATTCTTCTCATCTGGCAGACAAGCTAGATTTCCACATTTCTTCTCTCCCACTTCGACAGTACTACATTGATCATCTCGATTACAGTTCCTCTTAATTAACTGATCTTCTGCAACAGCATTTTCATCAATCCACATTGTGTTGATCTCTGGATTCAGACTATAGTCCTGTCCATTAGCACAATGGTCCTCTCCCTCTGTGGTCAGAGAAGCTGAATGAGCCAGAGAGAAAACTTTTAGTTGTGGCTGTGACTCATTAGAAACTGCAGGTTCATTCACACTGGCCAATGCAGGGTTAAATGACAGTCGGTGAGACGGGGGATCTAGAATCTTATTCCACTTGGTATCCAACAAAATAGGAGAAACTGTTTCATCTGAAAAAATAAATAATTGCAATAAGTTTGCTGGTGACACTGGAAAAGCTAGGACTCAGTTAATTAAACTACATTTGCAAATATTCTGAAAATAAAATATTGCCAGGATATCTAAAAATAGAATATTCCTAGAATATGAAGTTTCTAATTTTTAGCTAAGAATAAAAAAATATTCTTAAGACTGTTCCTATATTACATGTCACCAAATGGTAATATCCCAGAACATTCCAAAAAACAAATCTAGTAACATAATTAAGATGGCACACAGGCTATACTTGGTGGTGGGGGAAGGGAGTAGCAATCAGAAAGACCTTCGATTGGTTGGGTACAACATAGGCTGGGGACTAATCTAAGCTGGAAAAAAATTAGGACAGTGATGAAGATGAAGTAATTGAGTGGGAAGGAAAACAAAGGAATTTTCTGTGGAGACAGAATGATCTATAATCTACAGGATGACTGGAATGTGGGTTACACTGATATATTTACTTGTCAAAACTGGTACAGTTAAGATCTATATATTTTAATGTATGTAAATTTCATCTTAAAAAAACGAAAAAAGGGCACTTGGGTGGCTCAGTCGGTTAAGAGTCTACCTTTGGCTCAGGTCATGATCCCAGGTTTCTGGGATCAAGCCCCGTGTCCTGCTCCCTACTCAGTGGGGAGTCTGCTTCTCCCTCTCCCTCTGCCCCTCCCCGCTGCTTGTGCTCTCTAATAAATAAAATCATAAAGAAAAAAAAACTAAAAAAGTAACAAGCAGTGAGGAGTGGATGAAGATACAAATGAAACAAAACAGGCAACATGTTAACTGCTGTTAAAGCTGGGAAATCGGCATACCAGAATTTACTACACTATTCTGTTTTTTGTATGTATTTGAAATTTGTCCATAATAAGCATTTTAAAAAGTTTGCTATAGTATGTGAAATTATACTAATAACTATATCACATTAATTAGGTTTATATTTATATAATTATCTGAGGATATTTGGCAGAAAAATATTCATTTATCTTATTAAATCAACCTACTTATATTCTATCAATAAGCATAATTTACTTTTTAAGAGATTATAACTATGATGATTATTTTCCCAAGTTATAGTGCCATATGTATATTTAGAGAAATAAGAAATAATATACTTGCTGTCTTTCTTGCTGTCTTCTTACAGCAAATCTAATAATCATAGTCCTGAAATTATGCAGATATATTTTCCCCTCAATAGTAACATTAATCTTTAATGCCCCGTTAGCACCTTGTTCATATCTCTAGTTAAGCATTTACTACACTGTATTGCAATGGCTTCTACCTGACTTTTTCAGACAGAAACCATTTCTCTCCATCAATGTAAGTCCTGACTTTGCATTGTGCCTGGTATGTAGTAGGTACACAATAAATATATGCTAAGTGAGTATCTACCATAGTAAAAGCATTGTGCTTAAGGAGCATGAAGATTAAATGATAGCTCTGGCCTCCAAGAAGTACATAATCTAGTTGGAAAAATAAGAAACAGATATAGTACACATGAGTATCTAATTAGCAGTACAGGACAGCATAGTATTTGAAAACTATTATGTACAGAAAATAAATTCAGAGAAGAAAGATATTTTAGAGGCTGAGGTAGCAAGCTGGAATTCATAGAAGCAGGAAGAAACGGCTGGGCTTCAAAGACAATTTTATTTCAGTCTGGAAAAGAGGTCATTCTTAAGGGGGAACAAGTATAGCCCCAAACACAACAATCTGAGAGAGCAATAAGTAAATCAGTTTGGGTTGAAAAAAGAATTAGTGTAAGGAAGTAGTAAAAAGAACTGAAAGGGCAGATTGTAAAGGCCAGAAAACCTCAAAATGTGTAGAGAATGGTCTTGAATCCTCTGAGTGTTAAATCATGAGTTGCCCAAATTTGGGCTAGCAAAGACTTGAAATTTAATAACATATGCTTCCTTTCAAAAAAGAAATCATTATTTCCAAGATGGTTCATGGAAATAAAAAGGAAATGCTGCTTCTTACAAGAATATTTAATAATATTCAAACAAGAATGTTAGATCAGTTATTAAAAATGTCATTATTTAATCACCTACTACATGGGTATAATGTTAATTATCTAGTGTTATCACAGTTTGTATGTGGTATATTTTTCATTTAAAGAAGGAAATTAACACAAAATGAAAAATCACTTTATTTAAAATATACTTGAAAAGATACCAGGCTAGAGGTGGTAGTTTTAATGCAACTAGTACTAAGATTTTTAAAAAATAGTTCAAAACAAATAAACAACATAGTTCCAAACAAGAATCTGGCTTCTGAAGTTCTTCTCCTTCTAAAGGAATTATTTTTTTATAAGCGAATGCTGTATTTTTGAACTAAAAGACAATTTTTACTGATACAACAAAAATATATTCAAAATCAACTATATACGAAGTACCCTACTAGAATCTACAGAAGTCATAAAGAGAATGATGTAATGAACTAACAGTTTTATTCGAGTCAATGGTATTCTAGAATTATACTATTCAAGTGATTAGGTATCTCATAACAAGCAACTGTGATACACAGAGGGCCAAACCAAAGAAAGGACTGAGAAATTATCTGTATAAATGATTGAAATTGAGAGGAAAATATCCCTTCCACCTTGGTATGTAGATCCAATAAAATCCCAAATGATTAATTTCACATTTACATGAATTCTATGGCTATGGAGTAGCTTTGGGTCATCAGTGGTAAAATATGAGAATAGCAGGCTATTCCATGTATCCTTCCTTCTCCCTTTTCCTTCCTTACTCCCATAATTCTATATAAGGCTTACTCTATCACAGACCCAAAGCAACAACATTAAAATTAATCTCTCTTCTCAACTACTATCCAAGAACAACCTGAATCACTGGATATAATAAAGGTTTGGAGACCATTTCTAAAATCATGGACTTCAGATGGAAATACATCACTTTGTAAACTTGTTACATTCCATTTCCCCCTTAGAAATAGAGAATATCAAAGGGCACTTGAGTAGCTCAGTTGGTTAAACGTGTCTGCCTTCGGCTCAGGTCATGATCTCAGGGTCCTGGGATCGAGCCCCATCTTGGGCTCCCTGCTTCTCCCTCTCCCTCTGCTCTTCCCCACCTCTCCCCCCAGCCAACTCTGTGCTCTCTCAAATAAATAAATCTCAAAAAAAAAAAAACAAAACAGAGAATATCAGGGTAGGAGGGATCTAATTAATTATGGCTTATCCATTTAAATCATACTGAGAGAAATTTAAGCAAAAAGTTTTCCTAAATGAAGTGAATCTTAGGCAGACATTTTATCTAACCATCTTGGCAGTAACTTAAAACTATAAATCTTTTAAAATTAGGTTTAAAATGTATCTTTATTGGTCAATCAATAGGCAACAAGTTATTTTTCTTAGTTTAGGAAATACAATCACACATTCTAAAGCTTTTCTTGACCATAAATTGGTTGTATAAAGAAAGTTCAGGCTCTAGTATTATACTGCCTGGATATTAATCATTCTGCCACTTATTAGCCAACTAACTTTGGGGAAATTGCTTAATCTCTCTGTGCCTCTCATCTATAAAATGTAGATAAGATCGATTTTCATCGGATTATTTTAAAGATTAAATAATACAGTCCATGTAAATGCTTTAGCATAGTATCTGGCACATAGTGCTAAAAAATGTTAGTTCTTGGGGTGCCCAGGTGGCTCAGTTGTTAAGTGTCTGCCTTCGGCTCAGGTCATGATCTCAGGGTCCTGGGATTGAGCCCCACATCAGGCTCCCAGCTCCGCAGGAAGCCTGCTTCACTTCTCCCTCTCCCACTCCCCCTGCTTGTGTTCCTTCTTTTGCTGTCTCTCTCTCTCTGTCAAACAAATAAATAAAATAAAATAATAACTGTTAGTTCTTCCTCTGGGTATTAAAATACTATTATCATTAAGTTATTAAGTCATTCTATTTTTTTAAAGTGTTGCATCCTCTTATAATCCCACATTCTCCATATCATAAATGTATTCAAATAGATTCACCAAAATAAATTCTCACCTTCGTTTTGTTCAAATTCATCCAATACCTTGTCCAGGTTGTAAGCTTCTGCTTGGAAGTAATTCTCCATCGGTGAGGAAACACCACTCAAGAGACTTGTTTAAACCTAGAAAGTAGATCAAATTTGTATTATACTTTCAATTACTTAAATTTAATTTATAGACGTTACAACTGATAACAGAAATACAAATGATCATGAGACTACTATGAATAATTATACACTAAATAACTGGAAAACCTAAAGGAAATGAATAAATTCCTAGACAAATACAACCTACCAAGAGTGAATCACGAAGAAATAGAAAATCTGAACAGACCAATTACTAATTGAATCAGTAATTAAAAACCACTCAACAAAGAAAAGTCTAGGACCAGTTGGCTTCACTGATGAATTCTATCAAACATTAAAAAAAAGAACTGGGGCGCCTGTGTGGCTCAGCTGATTAAGCGTCTGCCTTCAGCTCTGGTCATGATCCCAGGCACCGCATCAGGCTCCCTGCTCAGCAGGACGTCTGCTTCTCCCTCTCCCTCTGACCCTACCCCCTGGCTCATGCTCTTGCTCACTTTCTCTCTCTCAAATGAATAAATAAAAAATCTTAAGGAAAAAAAAGAATTAATAGTAATGCTTCTTAAAATCTTCCAAACAATAAAAGAAGGGGGAACACTTCTGAACTCATTTTACAAAGTCAGCATTACTCTGATACCAAAACCAGGTAAGGACACTACAAGAAAGGAAAATTACAGACCAATATTCCTGATGAGTATAGATACAAAAATCCAAAACCAAAATATCAGCAAACCAGATTCAGTAATACATTAAAAAGATCATATACCATGATCAAGTGGGATTTACTATAGGGATGCAAGGATGATTCAACATCTGTAAATCAATGTAGTACCATATTAACAAAATGAAGGATAAATCATATGATCATCTCAATAGTGCAGAAAAAGCATTTAACAAAATTCAACACACATTTATGATAGAAATCCTAACCAAGTGGGTAGAGAACACACCTCAACATAATAAAGGCCATCTATGACAAGCCCACAGCTAACATCATACTCAGCAGTGAAAACCTAAAAGCTTTTCCTCTAAGATCAAGAACAAGACTAGGATACTCACTCTCACCACTTATATTCGACATAATACTGGAATTCCTAGCAAAAGCAGTTAGAAAGAAAAAGAAAAGGCATCTGAATCAGAAAAGAAGAAGTAAAACTATCTGCACTTGCAGGTGACATGATATTATATATAGAACACCCTAAAGACTCCACACACACACACACACACACACACACACACAAAACCTGTTAGAATAAACGAATTCAATAACATTGCAAGATTAAGTCAACACACAAGGGGTGCTTGGCTGACTCAGTCAGTAGAGCATGCAGCTCTTGTTCTCTGGTTTGTGAGTTAAGCCCCAAGTATGGCAAAGAGTTTTAAATTTTTTTAATTAAAATTAAGTAATTAAGTTTAATTAAGATTTAAATTAAAAAAAAATTTTAAAAAGTGAACACACAAAAATCAGCTGGGTTTCTATACACTAACACCAAATTATCAGAAAGAGAAATTAAGCAAACAATATCATTTACGATTACATCAAAAAGAATAAAATTCCTAGGAATAAACTTAACCAAAGAGGTGAAAGATCTGTACTCTGAAGACACTGATGACATAATTGGAAAACACAGAGAGACAGAAAGATATTCTGGGTTCATGGATTAGAAGAATCAATATTGGGCGCCTGGGTGGCTCAGTTGGTTAAGCGACTGCCTTCAGCTCAGGTCATGATCCTGGAGTCCCTGGATCGAGTCCCGCAT